GCCCCATACACTTCTTTATTTATAGCTTTAGGTTCCTTACAAGAATAGGAAATAAACAAAAAATAGAAACAATAAGGCCAGCCGGCCCAACTTAAAAGAAATTAGAAACTTCTAATAAAAGAAATTAGAAACTTCTAATAAAAGAAATTAGAAACTACTAATAAAAGAAATTAGAAACARCTAGGTGTGGGTATGAAACCACACACACTAGAGCCTGAGTGTTGGTATGGAACCCCACACTCGTGGCTAACCAACTATTTCTTCAGTAGCATTTTGAAACTAGTACCAAAGTGGTTCAAATAGGGAGCCATTTTATAAATTCTACTCCCAACCGAGCACTAAATAGTTTCCACGCTTTCCTTGCCAAGCAACTCTGAGCAAGGAGATGGTTAGTATCTTCCATGGGCATTAGTCTACAGCACACATACTTAGAGGCTATAGGAATACCTGTCTATTTTTTGTCTCTATCAAGTATCAACTCCAATTTTTCCTGTCATAGCTTTCCAATTAAAGAAGCAACTTTAGTAGGCAAAACCTTGTCCTGTGGCACCTTATGCCAATCCACCTTGTCTTGATGATTTCTAATCCCATGCTGACTTAGTAGTAAACTTACCATTTGTGGTCCAACGCACTATCATATCAGGTCTGGAGGTGATGCTCACTTTTGATGTCTTAATCATTTCCAGTATACTTGTCTCTAACAGGTACTCCACTGCCTCAAGATGCCAATTCCCATCCACATCCAAGACATCATTCACTTCTAAATCCACATTAACACCTTCAATTCTGGTGGCTACATCAATAAGAGGCCTAGTGTTTAGCCATTTGTCTAAGCACAATTTGATTTGACCTTCACCAATTAGCCAATTAGAATGCAACGCCATCTCATCTATCAAAGAGATTTTTTTTGCCAGGTCTTAGATGCACAGAAAGGGCAGAAGGAAATATAGTAATGTTTATGCTTCAAGAAGCCCACAGAGAATCATGAAATAACACTCTCCATATAGATTTCAGCCATAAGGAATGACCTCCTGAACTCCTCAACTAAAGGCCACCCTAAATTGAGGTCTGCACAGGCCTGGGCAGACCCAGAACTCCTGAACTAAAGCCCAGGTCTGCACATGCCTGGGCAGACCCAGAACTCCTCTATACATACAAGTATATGTGTATGTATAGAGGTACTAAATTAATTTGAAAACTATTTATGTGTATTAATATATGTATGTTTACATATTATCCTTATATATCTATTTATATATATGTGCATATACACTGAAGTCCAAGAGTGGCCAATATGTGTGAAAAAGTGCCAAAAGTTAGGTGTACCCAAGACCCCATATAGCTATGATCAATACTTGGGTAATGGCATGAGCATGGATGTGTATGTGTATGTGTATGTTCCTCATGTAGTCTACTCAAGGATTAAAGTATCAGTATCGAGTATCGTATCGGACAACTTGGATATGGATACGGATACGCTTTGGAAACACATGGATACGGACAAAAAATATGGATACGCTAGGGAAACACATAAAAATTTCATAATACATTAATAATATTAAATTTAAGGTCAAATAACAAAAAATAATGTATAAATACATAGAAAATGTATATTTTAATGATGTATATGAAAAAATGTATTACAATTATATAATATGATGCATAGATATTATACAATTTTATTGATAATGTATCAATCAAGAGTCCAAAATGCAAAACATATTTTCCTATTATATTTTAGTTATTGTATCAATTATTTTCGTTTTTACTATTTTTACTTCTTTACATTAACAAAGAGGTCAATCGGATATAATTCTCTATGTAAATTAAAATATCCAATAATAGTTTATAAAATGTATAATCTCAACTTAAAATATATCAAATCTATTAAAATTTCTAAGATGCATATCATATGCAAATTCATAATTTTTAACTTTTAAAATGATTATTCCATTATTATATTTTTATTCCTATAATTTTCTAATTAAAAATAATTTTTTGGTATAAATGTAGATTAGTAGATTTGATAGATTTAATTTAATATTTTAAAATCATTTTTTGTAAACAATGTTTTTATTTTCTAAATAGTAAATATGATTTTATGTAATGTAAATTAATATATATATATTATATATCATGTGCAAATTTATAAATTTTAAGTACTAAAATAATTATTCTCTTATTAATATTATATTTTTTTCATTTTTTGAGATTCAAATAATCTTTTGATATAAATGTGGATTTGATATATTATTTATTTCTATTATTTTATAAAATACTGATTTTAAGTATTACTTTTTTAATTTTTAGTTAAAGCTAACCGTAATATGTATTATTTATTTGAATTGCATTTAAGTAATAAAGAAATAAAGCTTTTATTCATTTATTTATAAACACAAAAGATGGGATAGCGTAGTGGCTTATAGATGCGGACGTTAAGCTCTTTCTTACTTGTTGACGCGGGTTCGAATCCTTGCAACTTTTTTTTTAGTAGAAGAGTATGCACATTCGCGGGTAGTGTATCGTACTATATCGGTCCGTATCGATGTGTATACGATACGGACCTATACACGCCCGTATCAGCCTGATACACACTACTGGCACATCTCCAGTCGTAGCATATCCCATGCCGGACACTAACGATACCGATACAATATGCCCTGTATCGGACATATGTATCGATATTTCAATCCTTGAGTCTACTTGAGAGAGAATGAATGAAGTCCACATATTGTATTAATGTATTTCTTTAATTAGTAGTGCCTTGAAAAGCTGATAAACTAGGAGAGAGAAGGAAGGAAAATGTTGTATCAGATATTAGGAATAGTACTTGAAATTTGAACTACTAAAAAAGTGGTAGGAATAGTAAAATAGTACAGTGCATTTAATATGTACTTAAAAATAGATGGAGTGTTGGGAGAAAATGTGGGATCTTGATGTCCCACATTGAATGGGGATCTTGTTATGGTTCATGGACCCCAGATGAGTGATCTCTAAGTTCAAATCCAACTCCTTGGGTGATTCTACTCTTTGTAACTGCAACACATTTTTTAGTAATAAAATACAATTTATTAAAAGGAAAAAGAAAGGATGACTAGAAATCACCCAATAGAGAAAGAGGAAAAAAATTCAAACCCACCAACCCTGCCTGGCACAAGCACAAACAACCCAGGAAAAAGTACAAATACAACCATACAGACTGACCCAATGCAAATTGCTCCAAGACAACATCCAACCCCAGTTGAGAACACAACCAGACCCCTAGTCTCCTAAAAACACCAATTAGCCAAAGAAATCACCATCACCAAAAAGCCAAACCAGGTTCTCTCTACTTCTTTACAATCCTCCTAGGTTTCAGCAACCTCTTGTTTGGACCAATCCCATATAGACTCCTCTTCAATCTAGCAAATATATTTGAAAGGACGTCTCAGTGCTTCTTCTTTCTAAATATTCTAACTGCAAGAGAGTTCTCCCTCAACTTCTTCACGTCCTTAATTCCCTCATTGATTCTTTCCAAATCTAACACTAATTATTCTCAAAAAATTGACTTGCAGCAAAAACCTCATCATTTGTAACTGCATCACTTTGGAATTAAAAAGAATTGAGAAACTGTGGCATTATGAAACTGTTAATTGGTTTGGCAATCTTGCCAAATTAGCCAAATAATTCATTTACCAGAGTTTGAATCTTGGGTTGATTTGGTTATGTTTGGGAATCTTGTCAAAGGCAGTTATTTTAAGTTACTAGGAAGCTCCAAAGGGCTAGGTTTTAGTCACATATGCTATATTAAATTACACACAAGCTCCATTGTTTTAGCTAATGACCTAGACAATTTGGCAATCAATGGGGATTGAATTTTTGTTACCAGTCTGTTGCACGGCTTGATGTTATTTAAAAACACAACGCAAACTGTTATTATAAGATTCTAATATAGATAAGCATACAAAGCTCATTTAATAAAGGGAAAATTACAGGGAGGTACCCTGTACTTTCGGGGTAGTGACACTTAAGGGCCTCAACTTTTACTTGCGACAATGAAGTGCCCTGTGCGTTCAGAAATCAACACTTAAGTCCAACCGTTAGCAATTCATGAGTTATCTGGAGCACGTGATGTCATGCATGTCTCAAAATGTTAAAAATTACCCAACTTCACCCTTTGTATATTTTATGAGACCGTTTTGCCCTCTCCTTTATTGAGTCTCTATAAACCTAGTTCTTAACCCTTTCTTTTCCATTTTCTTTCTTGAACAGAGAGCTGACACAACACAACAAACTGTGCATTAACCATGTCCACTTCTGTCATTTTGCATCAAACCATGAATGGGCATTTTGGTAAATATATCACTCACCATTACATCGGTCAATGGACTTGGACTTCAGTGTTGATTTCTCTAAGTACAGGGCACTTCATTGTTGCAAGTGAAAGTTGAGGCCCTTAACCGTCTCTGCCCCCAAAGTACAGGGTACCTCCCTGTACTCATCTTTTACTTGTTAATGTAACTTTGTTATTGATTAAATGTATGTATATCAAAATAGGAGAAGCTTTCTCAGTGACTTGGTATTTTTTAAATGAGTCAAATGTTTGAGTCTATTAAAATCCAGAGCCACACATTATTGGGTTAATACTTATAGGCATCTAAGTAACCAGCCAAGACCATTACATAGCCTTGATCAGGCAATTTTACAACAATTGGGTGGAGTAGAAGATCTTGCAAGAAGGTCCATTGATTCAGTGTTCTAGACTCCTCCCTCCCTGATAATTGTGTAGAAACACCGGAGCACTACCGAAACTTGCAGGTTATACATGAATTTAGTATACAAGGAGGCTTTTGTGTTCATAACACAAGGGTGATGCATATGAACACACCGAAATTTTTTCCATTCTTCTTTTCAATTGTAAACAGTATTTCTTGATGTATGTGTTTACCAAGTGAAACATTGTTGAGCTTTTATTTCCATATTCAAATTCTATATCTAAATCTTTCTTCTACATGCCACAGGCTGTTCATTCGGGTGTTGACCTTGAATCTGCAATTGAAACATGTCTGGGTTACTCTTCCAAGGTTATTCTTATGAAATTCTTTTTAAGTTGTTATTTTGACCTCAGTTTTGTTGCAACGCATCTAGCTTACTGGATCTCTGAAAGTATTTTTTTTCCACTTGGAATATAGGGTCATGATTTTATGAGCGGAATTCAGGTTCACTCTGTCAGTGGTTTGTCGTTAAGATTACAGGTATTGGTTTTTTTTTCCATTTAGAAACTAGTGCAGAAAGAATTGTGTTTATTTTTTTTATATAGATCAGATTAATAAATTTCATCTTTGAAAATGATATCTCAACTTATCTATCAAAAAAAAGAAAATGATATCTCAACTTTATAAATGGCAGGAGTGCCTGAATTTTGTCAAAACACACATTGATGATAAGAATATTGGTCCACTAATGGAGGTTTGTTTTGCTCAATGATTGACTTCTAGTCAAGGTTTTCTTGTTGTTGGTTGTAAAGGAATTCATTATGGATTCCTTTTCTTGATTAATATAATAATTTTTCTTTTCTTTTTCAGAAATTATTGGAAGCACGCATTGAACTTTTCCCAGTTTTGGTGATGCCCCATGAAAGGTTAAAAGATCTTCTCTTCCTTGACCTTGCTTTGGCTTCAGCTGTTAGGACAACCATGGAGAGAGGATTTAAGGATCTGCAAAATGCACATCTTCCGGTATTGATGCTTTCAGGAGATTGGTTGTGTATTTTCTGGAGTGAGTCCATATATTATATGTTTTTGTTTTTGTAATAGACAGAGAAAAAAATGCTTTTGTGTTGTAATTCTTGAACAGGATATGCTGTTCTTAATTTCATTGGTGCTTGAAAACTTATGTCTGTCAACAGTCAACAATGAAGACCTCATTTATTGCACAAAGGTATTTCTTTTACTACTTAGTACTTACTTGACCAATCAGTATAGTCCATTATCACCACAGAAATATTTTATTTTTACATTCATGCTGTTATAAACTCTCTTTCTTGGCATCTTCAATCTGTCAGTTTATTCCTTTATATTCTTAATTCTAAATTTTAGTGCTATGCCGTTATTTGATCCCAATGATCTTTGACATTATATTTATTACTTTAACAGTGGCATGCCACTACAATATTCTGAAGTTAGTTACTGATAAGTTTGGATTTATGAAAACAGGAATACCTAGAGATTTATTAATGCTACTATTGCTCCAACTTCAAATAATGAGTCTGTGGAACTTTCCTTATTAAAATAGCCCTATTTTTTGAATTTGGTTAATATCTAATTGTGAGGGTAGAAATGCAGTTTGAACTACTACTTTTCACCTCATTTAATTTCCTCTCATTAAGTCTTATGCTTAAGGTACTAACTTTTTAAAGGACTGAAAACTTGATTAAACATGGCCCGGATCTGTTACAGTTGCTAGCTGAAATTTTAAAAAATATTCAGCCCAACCCGAACCGATTTCTCGGTATTTTTGAAATCTGAATTTATGGATCGATCTTGCACCAAACTTGGACCAGATTTGAAACCCTAATTTAGAACTGATCATACCTGATATGGAGTCCACAATATACAGCTCCCAGAATGGTAGTTCACGTCCAATATCAGACCCAAATCCACCTCAAACTGAAGATGGCACAACTGTATGTGTGAAGCCGGTTCAGCAACACTATCTTTGCAAAACTGAGCTCTAACTTCCTTTGTTTCGATGCAGCTATGTGAACCTGATGTTCTCTGATGTTTTTTTTTTCTTAAAAAATACAACAGAGGACTGATGGGAATCAGCCCTCACTATGGCTGGTTTGAACTAGGGTTTTTGGAAGCAAGGGAGAAGAGAAAGAGAGCATGAAAGGGAGGTGATAATGCATAGTTTTCCCCCTCTCTCTAATCCCTTATATAGAGCATTCACCTAATTGGATTAGGACTTAATCCAAATTAGATTAGGATTAGGTCTTAATCCTCTTAAAGACGGGTGCTCCATACCCATATCCATACCAAATTCGACCCTCTTAACTAGTCTTACTAGTAATTGGGCCTAAGGCCATTTTCTTTCATAGTTCACATCATAGGTGTTGCATGGCCTCTTAGGCCTGATTATTGTATGGCATGGGTCCCACAAAGGTCTCACATAAGTCCATAAGGGTTTGGCCCATGTTTGGAAAGAGACAAGTTGATTTCACTGCATAAGGACAGTGAACCCCTGACCCAAACAAGTTATGCTCAATCTGGGTCCAATACTTAAGTATAAGTAATCCTTGGGTTCAACCACCCTATGAAACCCAAGGATAATGGACTGATGTGAGATAAATCCATCAGGTTATCATCCCTCTAATGGTCTCTTGCCCTTAACCTCTTAGCCCTTAATAATCAAAACACTATTCACAGGGAAGGACCTCTTCCCTGACTGCAAAATGAAGTGTCACACTCTCTGCTCAGATGGATCCCGAGAATAAAACCTTTTACAAACCTTTTTTAGAAAATATCATAATATATATATAAATACATTTTGCAAATCCGATTTCAAATACTGTTGAAATCCACAACTAGCAATTTTTTGTTTCCATCAGTGTAAACCCTAATACTCACTTTGTCTAACAAAGAGGCTGATCTTATCACTATGATCACCCACTCGGGTAATATTCTAAAATGCTTCAACATGCCCAATTATTTGACCCTTGATGGATCTCACTAATTGGCATATCAAAGGTAGTCCAGTCTAAGACTTAGTGTAGTATCATAATCAAGTTTGGGGTTAAGTGCAACTTTTTAGTTTTGCCCATCTGTCTCCAAGGTCCAGGGCATAGCTGGAAATTGGTCCAAGTTTAGTACTTCTTCCAAGCACCCATTGTTATGCTTGGGATCTAACCCTAGCAACTAAAACAAATTGCTCCACCTATTCGGCAGCACACCAGTGTCAGCCTTGTCAAGACAAACTCCCTAAATTTATCCAATGGCCGAGAACATTCTAAACTAACACAAGTCTCATAAGTGTCTAGTTTAAGGAGTAACCCACAGAAATACACCAGTCTAAACATAAAACAATAATGTACTATATTATTCATACATAAATGTCTGTGTACATCAACCTGATTGGAGTTAAGGGCATACATTGTCTAATGTTAACTTCCATTCTCTCTCATTAGATCCTTTATTTAAGATGTTTTTCTCACCAATGAATTCTAACAATTAGATCTATACTTGATACTTTTGAGTTTTGACAATATGAAAGCCATATTTTTTTAATTGACCCAAAAATTAAACCCTTCTTTCGTCCAGGTGGTGGGTGAACAATTCAACTATCTGTGTCAAATGGATCAACCCATTATTTAAAATAGAAATAAATACAAAAAATGTGCACATATCTAATATTTTACATTATCCATATTAAAAAAAATGGAGTGGGTGATTCTTTAAGAGCTGAAGTTCTGGCACTGACGGAGGGAGTACAAAGAGCAAGAATCTTGGATCTAAGGAAGCTAATCATTGAGGAGATTCCCAACTAGTATTGTCTAACTACAAAGTTAGGAGACAGAAATTTGGAGCTACAACAATGAAAGGAGGAAAACTTAGAAGGATAACAAAAGATGTGGAGATAAAGAAAACTTTTCTTGGGGAGAGATAAGGGGATTTATCCTTCACTGACAGTTTGTTTGCATTGTAATCACTATTTATTATTCTCTTAATGAAATTTGTGGTTATTGATTAATGAAATTTGGCTGATGCTATACATATATAAAGTTGCAAAAACATGGTGAAAGGAATAAGCTTTGGAGTTTATTTTCTGCTTTGAGTAACTTTTGGTGAGTGATTCCCAAGGGCCTGGAATGATTCTAGGAACATAAGTTTCCTCTCAATTCCCTTCAGTCAAAAGCCATCAATGGTTTTTTTTTTTCATCCTATGGGAGCTGCTTTCAAAAACTCCCATCAAGAACCCTAGTTTTCGTAAGTTTCTAATTTTGATAACTCTTGTCTTTTGTGCCTACTTTTGCCCCTCCAAATTCAATGCACTTCTTTGCTTCACAAACATAAATATTCCTTTTAAACAATTGAACGAAAACTCATTCCAATCTCAAGATATTGAATATTTTGTTTTTCTCTCTCTAGAACCTTCTGCACATTGCAGGAATTTCAGCATAAATTAGTTTTTTAATCACATCAGACAAACATATAGCCTTAGACAAACTCTCAAACCCCATCCACTTTTCGTAGACCTTCCCCTAGCCCCCCAAACCCAAACCTTGGACTTAATCCTTGCAATCATCATTTAGTTTTTGGTTTCTCTCAAATTTGTTAGTTGTCCATCCTTGGATCATCGAGTCCTACAGCACAGTCCCTAAGTTGGTTTAGGGATGAAAATATAAGACCATGTATTGCACCAATTAGGAGTTGTCTCATGTATTTGTGTAGTTAACCCTAAATAATTGAAAACCAAAATACATTGTAATCCCTTATTGTATTAACATTTCTTTCTTTATTTTACAGAATGTTATATTGTAATGTCTCTAAGTCCACATGAAAGACATGATTACCTTTTCCAAGAAAAAATGAGTAGATTCTTGCTTTAATAATGTTGATAATCTATAATTACATTTTAAGCTGTCATGGTAGTTGTCAACTAACATAAAATAGAATGGCACATCAAGGAAAAAACAAGAAGAAAAAATAGAGAGAACAGCAAGATTTAACGTGGTTCGTCTTGGTAGCCTACATCCACGGGAGGAGAGGAGAAATATCCACTATGAGAACAGGAGATACATCTCTTTCTCTCTCACACACTCACATTCTTCCTCATTCACTCTTCCTCAAATTAGTCAGAGATTTCATAATAGTCGACTACTATCAGTATCCTGTTCTTAGTAATCAACTACTACATGGAGAGATTTCGTAGTAGTCAACTACTACCTCAACTAAACATGAAATAGCAGCTACGGAACACCTTTACAGCTCACAAAATCACTTATTACACCACTATTAAACTCTTCACAACTGGAACACCTCCACAGCAACTAGAACACCTTTACAGCAATCGGAACACCTTCACAACAACCAAAACACCCGTTCTGATACCATGTCAACTAACATAAAATAGCTCTGATACCATGTCAACTAACATAAAATAGCTCTGATACCATGTCAACTAACATAAAATAAAATGGCACATCAATGAGAAAACAAGAAGAAAAAATAGAGAGAACACCAAAATTTAACATGGTTCGGCTTGGTAGCCTGCATCCACGGGAGGAGAGGAGAAATATCCACTATGAGAACAAGAGATACATCCCTTTCTCTCACACACACTCATACTCTTCCTCATTCACTCTTCCTCGAGCCCTAATCTCATACAACCACTTGCTTAAATAAGCAAAAGACCGGAGTACATTAGAATTACACAGAAGCCCCTTTTTCTCCCACAAATACATATAGGTCCCCACAATATTACAAATATACCCAAATACAATATAACTCTCAACAGTAATTTATGGATACCAACATCTTTCCTATATAAGGGAAAGCACTTTTGTGTAACATAGAAATGGCCTAGTTGCTTGCTACGTTTTGTATGTCTAATGTTGCATATCTAATGGGTGATATGTTATTACTAAGAGATGTAACATGTCACTTGTTTGTCCCATCTTATTATATTATTATTATTTGTCTAAGTGAAAGGGGAGTTAATAAAAAGCAAACAAACAATTGTATTTAGATCTTCCTGAATTGATTTTTATTAACATAAACAAACCATTATGTCTAGGGAAAGTACAGCATCAAATCATTCATATGATCATATCAAGCATCATTCCTAATCATCTACAAAGCACATCATGTTCTTTATGTCATAATCACAGATTGCATAGCTTGCTCTTATCTAAAGAGTCATAAAATATAACCTTGTCCTCC